CATATGTGTTCGATTTATTTACAAAACTGCCACCGCGCACCATTATGCTGCGGTTTCCGTTGAACCGTGGCATAATGTGCGCTGTAAAAACCCAATTTTTTACTAGTGTTTACGTATTTATTTATATTTATTTTTCATAATTGGTAAAGTTTGTCTATGTTTTGTGAAATATTAATTTTATCACGAGTTTGATATGGTCCTTCCATGTTTTTATTCTTTTATTCTATTTTTTATTTTTAGTAAATATTCAAATGATTGATGGATTTTAGAATGTCAAAGTTTATAATGATGTTTAATATGAATATTTGTTTAGAATATTGTATGTAAAAAGACATACAAAGTATTTAATTTAACTTTGGTCATGGTTAAAGAGATAAAATAGTGGATTGCACCACGTTTAACTAATGTTAAAATATCATATCAATTCCGTTAATTACAAATAATTAAAACCAATTGATAATAATATACATGTATTTTTTTATATTTTAAATTAACAAGTATAATGCATTATATTTAAAGAAAAAAATAATATTATAAATTAAAAGAAATGAAAATAGAATATTAATAATAAATAAATATATTTAACTTATTTATTTTTACTTTCTTTCAATTTCAAATATTTTTATTTTCTTTTTTTACTGCCTGACTACTCTAAACAAAACATGTGTAAAATGAAAATGTAAAGGATCTTGCTTAAGTTAAAAGAAAAAGTCACATGTCTACAATTTATGAGATCATACAGTCTGGCTAGGAAATGTAGAGCTTTTCTCATATTCTTACACAATGATCAATGACAGAACATTAGGATTGCTAGAAATTAAAAAGAAAATGTATATTAATATGATGGATCCTCCACTTCACTCAGTTAGAAAATGATGTGATACATATTATTGTATATGCTGAAATGAATGGTTTTTGCACATGATGAAATCAAGCGAAAGATTAGTAGATAATATTTTAAGAAATGAGAATTTAATATTTGAATGCAAATAAAAAAGAATTATGTGGTGAGATCTTAAATAAAAACAATCCTTGGCTTGACTTTGATGATTAATTACGATGATAATGATAATAATTAATTTGCATGGTTTGAAGAGAAAGCACAGCCCTTGAACTAGAAGAATGAAAAAGTGACCTAAGATTGGTCTATGGTAAGCCCTAAACGTCCTTGAGCTGTGGGATTCTGTGGTGATATGATTGAGATAAAGAAAAGAGATACCAAAAGATTAGAAAACGTGCCTTTTGCCTTTTCATCACCACCAAGAGTGCCAAATTGACACGTCATGTGCCTGTTCAAGCTCACAAAAAGTAGTGCCAAGATTACGTTTTGATTTGAACAAAACACCCTTATCTACGTCTTATGTGACATTTTCGCATATCGTTTCATACTTACGTACCATTTTGTTCGGTAAGGTGTCTTGTCTCCTAAGAGGGTGTTCTGGTTTTCTAGTTTACTCTTCTCAAACTCTCAAATGCTCATACTACGCACATTCCTCTTATTTTTCACATAACTTCCAAAATTTTCTCCATTACCAACCATGCACTCATCATCATCTTCCTAACAAAATTTCATTTTCATACTTCAAACTTAATTCATCACCTTTTTTTCTTATGTGATTTAGTATCTCGTATTTAAAATTTTATAATATATATATATATATATATATATATATATATATATATATATCTTAGAGAAATGTTGATATAGTTTATGGTCAATGTAAAAAAGTTGATATTTTATTAATTCTTTGTATAATATATATAATATATTTACCTTTTTTAAAGATTATATATATATATATATATATATATATATATATATATATATATATATATAGTTTGAGTAAGTTGTTTTTTGTATGTATGTGTTAACATTGATTTCTTTATCTTTATTTTAGTGGTGTTTAAAATTCATCATTGTATGAAATGATTTAATAAGAATAAAAGTTTAATTATTATTATATCCGCAACTTTGTTTATTTTTCAATTTTTGAAATTTATATTGAATTACTATTTAATTACAGTTGGTGATAAGTCCTTATCCTTTTTATCTTTCTCAATCCTATCAACAAGTGTTTTCCTAATTTTACCCAGTTATATCTAAAGTGATAAAATTTGTAAATAATTAAATTAAAAACACACGTGTAATATAATTAAAAATTAAGAGATTAAAATTATGTAAAAAACATAGGTGAATAATTAAAATTAAGTTACTAAAGAAAAAAAATACAGGGACACTAATTTCAAAAACAATTGTAAAATATAGGAGCAAAATTCCGAAGGTCAAGAAATTATTTTAAAATTTACCTTTAAATTTACGTAAAACCGGCCATTAGTAACATGTAAATTATTTGCTTTGTTCTAAACTTGGTTAACATAATTTATAACGTTAATTTAGTTTTGCTTATGCCCAGTGCTGTACATATCGCCGAATCTGTTTAGAATTTATCGAAACTCCCTCATTGAACCATTCATACATTTTTTAAAATATCAAATATTTTTATAGCTTAATCAACCCAATTGTCGATCACAAAATCTTAAGAAAACATGTGGCCCAATTTATATTTTTTATGTGAATTGTCAATATTTAATTAAATTATTATAACTCTTTGTAAATATTTACCTATAACTCTATTCAAGTATTCATTGTTCTTCTGTTTTACATTTTAAATCCGACGGATTACATAGAAATAATAAGTGGGACATAATGTAAAAAAAAATGGATCAATATCGTAAATAATAATTGACGAAGGATATTATAGGAGACATATATATTTAACTAAGCTAAATTCTTCAAAGACAATGATGAAAAAAAAATCATTTTCACTAAAGAAACAATTGATAAAACTAGTTATTCAATAAAAAACAAATATGTAGTTGTTTAGTTGTGAGGTCGAGGTCAATTGACTCGTACACTAGGCTCTTAATAAAATTTAAACTATTTTTAAATCTAAGGCCTTGTTCTTTTGAGTGGATTTGAGGGAATAAATTTGAGGGGATTTGAGAGGATTTGAAGATAATTTTTTTTGTCGTTTTTTTTAGCGAATTTGGAGGTAAATGAAAGTGAATTTGAAAATAAAATTCATGAGAATTAGTATAGAATTGTATTGACGTGACAAATTAAAAAAAATTATTTTCAAATTCATTCTCATTTACCTCCAAATTCGCTCAAAAAAACGACAAAAAAATTATCTTCAAATCCCCTCAAATCCACTCAAAAGAACAAGCCCTAAGTCTTTAAATCTTCACTCATTTAAATTTGTGTGATGAGATTATTTGTAAAAAGTATTTCAATGTTTAAGTTAATAGATAACGGTTTAGTAAGTAAAATTAATTTTTTAACCATATAATAAATATAATTACATGTCTTTTTTATCTTGAACTTGTATTTATAAATGAGTTTTTAATTAATATTTACTTAATATATTATATATGATAGATATTAAACACATTTTGTTAAGATGACCATAAAAAGAATCTATTATAAGTTGAAGAACATTTGTATCCGAGGAGAAAACAAAGCACTATTAACTTTTGTAATGCTAAAATGAAAAAACAGTCAAAATGTATGTTGTCATCACTTTAATATTTCATTTATCTTCTTTTCCTTTCATTTACATTAGTGATCTAATTCTTATAATACTTCATCAAACACTAAAACTTACGTTCCTTTGAATGTATAAAACATCAGAAAATAATTATCTAAGTTGAAAATTGTAGACAATAGCCGAAATTTAAAATAAAAAACTTAAAATCGTATTTAAAATTTTGGTTCGATATTTAATTTTATATTTTCACTAAAATCATATTATAGTTAAATATTATGTATTTACATGTTGTGAGAATGATTTATATAATACGCAACTCATGTTTTTACACGGTGTAAAAATAGTAAAATTGTAAATTTAGTTACAGAATAGATTAGAATTAGTTAAAGTATTGCATTTTGTTTTTATTCAACAGTGTCATATATTAGAGTATTTGTAAGTTATATATAAAATTACGGCAAAAAGAATTAAATCATTAATTTAAACTATTATTTTGTTATTTACTAAATATTTAATTTATTTATAACTATATACAAATTTAAAGTTAAAATATTTAATTGAAGGAAAACTATTGTACCAAAATAGTGCAACAAATCTTGAGATTTACAATGTTGGTTTAGATTATAATGACAGTATGAATTTACAATTGTTTTAAAATTTGACTAGATTTGATGTTGCTTTGGGTTGCAATCTGTATTTGATTCAATTTTACGTTAATTATAATTTTGGGTTGCTGAAGATCATGAGAGTATATGAATTAATATTTCTATTAATAATATATTTATATTAGGCCTAGGCCGTTCAATGCTTCACAAGATGTAGTTATATTTTGAAATGTTCTTATGCTTTATTTGTTGTATTTACAGAGAGGGATATAATTGACATAGTAGACCGTTTGAGAAAATTAATAATTTTTTTTAAAAGTTCATGATAATAAATAATGTTTTTAATTTATATTTGTTGTATTTCGTATAATTTTGATTGATGAAATCTATATTATTCTTTAAATAACATTATTTCAACGCTAACTTGATGAATGAAAACTTCAATTTTAAAGGAAATCTTTAACTGGAATAATAAGAACGAAGGGAAACATTCGTGTGAAATATTATTCATTCAAAGAACAAAAGTAAAATAATGATTTTGTGGAATTTACATAAGGAATAATGAATCATTACCTTATACAATAATTAATTATATTTTGATCGACCCAAGCCTAATTCATAATCATAAGATACAAACCTTATTCTACAGGTTTTTTTAAATTGAGTAGCACCAAAATATATTCTAGTGATATTTTCATTTTATAGTTTATAAGTCACTTTCAACCTAACAATTACTATTTTTTTTATTTTTATAATTCACAGTACATTATTATTATTACTATTATTATTATTATTATTATTATTATTATTATTATTATTATTATTATTATTATTATTATGAGTTTTTTCATGCCGTGGTCCAAATAACTGCTACTTCACCGTCATCAGTGTTGAGTCCCAAATCATTCCACACAGTTTCCGACGCATCCACCACGTTGTTCTTGCATGCTCTGGGACAACCATTCACGGAGTCACACTCGTCCACCACCTTCGCCACCGTACTCCTTCCGTTTCTAGCTTTGATTCTGATCATTCTCCCGCACCGTGCGCCGTTGCTGTACCATCCGGTGGACAGCGCCACCACTCTCTGCGGCAACGGATGGAACTTGCCGTCGCACTCGGAGGCGTCCCCTCCGTCTCCGTCGCGACCGAAGTCGTTGAGAGTGAGAATGGCAGGCGTTCCAGAGGGATTGATCTCGGGGGAATGAGCGCCGTTGGATCTGCATGAAGCTGCGTGCGTGAGAAGTGTTGTCACATTCAGTAGGCAAAACAAAATCACGAACGCAACGATATTTGCCATTGCTCTATATGTCGCTTATTTACTTCAGCCGAGTCTCTCATATATATATTAGGCAAAGGTAAGGGTGATTAATCTTGGTTTTATCACTTTAATATTTGATTATTGTGTATTAGTCAGGCTACAAATTATATTACAGTTTCATTTTTACAATCCATGGAAAACTTTTCTAATTTATTACATACATACACTTATCAAATATAGTGAAATTAATAAATAAAATAAAATAAAAATTCAATATGTAAAGAAGTTTAAAGACGGCAAAAACAGAAAAAGAAAAAATCCAGCTAAAACAAAATCTCTCTGCTTGATTCGATTTTGTTAACATTTTTTTTATTCCGAATGACGCAATCTTGGAACCTTCCATTACAATATATTATAAAAATTGGTGATTAGAAAATATCGAAAAGGATTGAAGCTTTAAGAATTTCATTTTTCTCTTGCCGGTCGCAACAAGAACCAAAGAAAACAACAAAGCTATTGCTGTTATAATATATGTTGTTGTTGTTATTAATTATATATCTTCAAGTAAATTGATTCAAGATGTATCTGTACAATCTTGTGTTTATTTACGGCATCAATCACAACATTATCTTATTTAAACTTTGTTTGTTTTATAGTCATGAAGTTAATTTTTTTTACTCACTGAATAATGAAAATACAATAAAGTAAATTTCGAGTTTTATTTATTTTTAATTTCCCCTTATCACGTGTCACTATTTAGAAATTTCCATCTAGTCTTAAAAGATTTACTAAATATTTGTAATATAAATAAATTTCAAGAAGTTAATTTATAAATAAATTAAAAAAATTGTTTTGAGGATGAGATCATCCGTCTGGATTATGTTGTGTCGTGTCCGAAGTCCAAATATTATTCAAAAGTCTAAGTATTAAATCGAACTATTCATCCAAATCATTGATCGCATTTATTGCTTCGGAGAAAGTGAGGATAAATTGTTCAAATTTCCATTTCTGGGTTAGATGCATTTCTGATTTTTTTCGCTTTTAGTTATGTAAAAAACTGATATTTGGGTTTAGAGTTTTGGAGTACCATTTTGCTCCATTTATATCTAATTTATCATAAGGATTAAATAATATTATATATCTTATCTAACCTTTCAGTTTTGTTCATGGGAACAATGTAATTTCTTTCTGTATTCATGGTTTGCTTTATCTGATGTCCTTGTGCAAGACAAAAAAATTCCTTCTGCTTCTATATTCTCTCTGGCTGCTTTGGAGGTCTTATTCAATAGCTTTCCAAAGGAGGAAAGTGAGTTGATATTTTGATCATGAGGATTTCTTCAATTTCAATTTGATCAAAACAAAAGTCGTGTAGAGTACACCGTTTATCTATTCTAATTGTTTCGGTCGGATTTAGAACCCTAATCCAAAACATTTAAAGTTGTCTGCTCCAATATCCAGTTGTGTTGTCTTCGCTCTTCTCCTTGTCTAAGCCGCGTTGACTTTGCGTAATAATTTTGTAATAAGATTTAGTTATCAGAGCTCTAAGTTTTGTTTTAAGTTACCTGTACCCTTTGCGAGACAAATATTTATAAATTATAATGAACTTACCGTTAGGTCTGACTCATTAACTATCAATGAATGACAATATTAATTGTCAATAAATGACAATTATTTTCATTAACTCCCCGACAGTTATTACTGTTAATTGCCTTAACGGCTGATTTAACCGATCGGTTCACTGACCTGAGAGGTATCATCGGTCGGGCTAATTTTACCGATCGGTTTCATTGACCTGAGAGGTATCATCGGTCGGACTGATTTTACCGATTGGTTTATTGACTTCGGAGGTATCATCGGTCGGACGATTCTTCTGCACTGTTACCGTTCGGTCGATTATGAGCTCATATTAACATAAGTAACACTAATAATTTTTTTTTCAAATTTATCTATTGTTGTCATTACTGTGTCAAATTTGTATAACTATTCTAGTAAATTTTTGATATTCTGGAATAACTTTTTCGAGTAAAAATATTAAGAAAATATATGCTATATTTTTATATCAACAATACAAAAGTATATGTTATAAGTAATATCAGTATAGAAAAATTATTATATCAATAAATATATTGATATTATTTTATAAAAGTATTGCTTTTATGGTCCACGTAGTGAATAAATGCAAACATTTTTTTATTGAGCCGAATTTAAACCTTTAAGCTTTTGTTGGAGAGAAAATACTACTTTCATTATTCAAACTATGAAAGACACGTGCATAATTATCACACAGCAAGAGGAAACAAAACAAAAGGCATGGATGCAGTAATATGATATTATGATGAGTTTTCTAAGCCATGGTCCACGTGATTGCTACTTCACCATCATCAGTGTTGAGCCGTAAGTCATTCCACACAGTTTCCGATGCGTCAACGATGTTGGTCTTGCATGGCGATTGATTCGCGTGTTCTTCGTCACACCCTTGCGTCGAGTCGCACTCGTCCACCACCTTCGCCACCGCGCTCCTCCCGTTCTTCGCCGTTATCCTGATCGTTTTCCCACACCGGGAACCGCCATTGTACCATCCGGTGGAGAGCGCCACCACTCTCTGAGGAAGCGGGTGGTAATTCCCATCGCACTCGGAGGGGCCTCCGCCGTCCCCACCGGGACCAAAGTCGTTCACGGTGAGGATAGCCGGCGTTCCCGTGGGGTTGATTGCGGGTGAATGTGCGCCGTTGGATTGGCACGATGCTGCATTTGTAAGGTGAGGAAGAAGGGTTGCAAAGAAACACGTGAATACTAGAGTCATTGTCATGTTCAGAGTTCAACTACTTTTTGCTTAATTTACTAACTTCTGTTACTGCATTATTTGTTCACAAAAGAACTCCTATATAAAGATATCATTTTTCTATAAGAAAAGTACCGTAATTATTTTATTCAATTATAAAATTGTAAGTTATAAAGTAATTTCTCTTTGGCATGTAGTAGTTTAGGTTGAAATTTGATGTGAATAGAATGATGTGATATAATACGTAGAATGACAAAAAACAAAAGCTCACTGTTTTGAATTTTTCATCCTTATACTTCAACCACTGAAACATGATCTATGCCATGTTATTTAGATTTGAATTTTTCCCAAAATGAAAAATATAATTTAATTAATATAGACTCAACTTCATGATAATGATAATAAAATCTTAAATTTGAACTTACATATTTGTATTCGTAATATGATGACCTGGTTTGATTTAGGTTTTTTACTTGTTTGATGGGTTTTAGTTAAAACTTTATACATTATTTTTTAGCAGAGGTTAAGACGATTTGAGCTTGAATGAGGCTTGTGAGACTCAATTTTGTTTCTCTTTTTATAACCTTTTAGCTTAGACGGCAGGAATAATGTAAGTGAAATATATAAAAATTGGTAAGAAAAATAAATAACTCAACCACATTATGTTTTACCTATATATATATTACCATTAATATCCTTTAAGTAAAGTTTAATCTCCTTGTATATAACACAGACTGGATTCAACTAAAGTAATTTTTTTTTCTTTTTCTATAAACAATAAATAAGTCTTATTTCAGTAAAATTTCAATAATTCTATAAAATGGAAAACACGAGACGTGCCAAAGAAACTAATTTTTTTGTTAGAAGACAGAAAATTATAAGCATATTAATTCTTCTATACTTTCTAATAATTTTTTTATTTAATATAAAATAATGTTAATTACTTAACATGTGTTTTTAAAACATCCATTTACAATACCTTTTGGTAATATGAATCGCAATAAAAATCAATTTATATCTTCTGAATTTATATTTGGATTAATACAGAAAGATTCCATACAAGTGATATTTAAGATTAAATCCAAAATATACATAATATAACAATAAATAATTTATTTCGGTTTAAAAAATTTATTTATATTAATATCAGACTGGATTAATTTTATATTAATATAAATATATGTGTTTATAAAAATGAAGAAGATGAGAACATTCTCTCATTCCTAGACCTTTAAGTTGCCCCACCACCTCCCCTATTTCTGGATTAGCATGTTCTGATATGAATAATTTACCTTTGGAACCAAATAACACATTAAATTATGAGCTTTTTTTTACGCGTGTTTTATATATATATATATATATATATATAAAGATTATACTTCGAGATTACGGATTCATATTTAATAATTTTATATCCAGATGTTTTAAATTCAGATTTTACATAAATAGGTGATGAATGAGAGAATAAAATAAGAGAAATAAGTAAAATTAAGATCCTTGTGTTGCATTTTGTAGATTTATTTCTGTTTCTCTCTTCCTTTTGTGCAAAAAAAAAAGGATGTAGCTTTCTCGCTTTTCTTATATTATTTTGAGGAAACCTCAACTTGTACAGCCTTTGTCTTAATAACTTGTTGGCAGATGTTTGGAACATCAATAATTGAGGATAGGACTCTGTCAATGGCGCATGCAAGAACAAAGGACACCATAACAACAAAATTCCTTTAAATTTGTACATTATTTCTCTATCACTGTTTTTTAGTTTAATTCTAATAGCTCTAATTTTATATTGATTTAGGATTCAGACTCCTTTACTAATTATATTTTTTCATGTGAGGATTTATTAAAAGTATTAGTTTTAAAAGATGATACTTAATTATTTTATTATTTAGAAATCAGATTATAAAAAAAATTCATTAATGGAGTTTCATTTTATAAGAACGGGTATCTTCTAAATATTTTTATAAAGGTTTAATACCTCTTTTGCTCCCTCGAAAGGGGGCAAATGTTCAATTGGGTCCTACTTTTTTTAGAAGTTCAATGTTGTCCCAAATTTTGTAAAAAGTGTGCAATCAAGTCCTTTTTGGAAACGACGTTAATTTTTGAACGGAGCAGCTGACAGGGTGGACTGAAGTTTGCTACGTGACTGTGTGAGGGTAATACGTGGTTTTCCTAATTCGAAAAATCCTAAATTTGAAAATTATTAACCTAATTAAAATTAGAATTAAGAGGGAAAACTCCCAATCTGAAAGGATTATGAACCCTAAATTGGAAATCCCAATTTCTTTCTACCCTCTTCTTCTTATGTCTGCTTCGTCACGCTCATGTGAGGGAAAGATATAGTTTTCCCTTCTCTTCTTCTCCTTCGGCGCTGCTCTGCAACCATATGGCAGCTTCCTTTCTCTTACGTTGGGACAACTTGCGACAGCTTTGGGGTGGTCTGCGGCGGCGGAGCTTGTGAGCGACACAGCGACAGAATTGCGAAGATCAACGAAACTTCGCCGAGGTTGGTCGCTGGATCTCTGGGTTTTGGTTTTTCTTTTTGGTTCTGGTTTTCTGCAGGTGGAGGGTTGGCCTCGCGGTACTTTTCGAACACGACGAACACCCTTCAGAAGAAGTCATTTGTATCTCAAACACCAATTTCTCTCTAACTCAAACCCTAATTTCTTAACCTCAGTAATATTACCCTCTCACAGCCACGTATCACCCTCACACAGCCACGTATTACCCTCACACAGCCACGTAGCTAACTTCAGTCCTTCAGTCCACCCTGTCAGCTGCTCCGTTAAAAAATCAACGCCGTTTCCAAAAAGGACTTGATTGCACACTTTTTACAAAATTTGGGACCACATTGAACTTCTAAAAAAAAGGTAGGACCCAATTGAACATTTGTCCCCTTTCGAGGGACCAAAAGAGGTATTAAACCTTTTATAAACTATTCTTTTAATTCTATTTATATCTCTGTCTATATATTTTATTTTGAAGATCAGAGTATGTTATAGGATTCCTGTCACTTAAGTCTATAATTCTACTTGATTAAAATCTTCAACCGAGTATGTTCACATTTTGTCATTATGTTTGGTCTTTTAAGAAATTTGTTATATGTGAGGTGTTTTGGGTTTCTATGTGACTTTAAAGGGTTTAAGATGAATCTCTCCTCGATTAAGATTGATATATAAGGTGTGTTATGATAGTTTATCTTATTCATATGTAAGTAAAGCAACTTATGCGAGGTAAAATATCTGTTTATTTGTTATATATAAAGGATAATACAAGTAGAAAGGGTGTGAAGTGGTGAAATTGATGATTGTTTGTTCCCAAATAATGGTTGTATATATGTATATAATGGTTGTATACACTATTTGTATTATATAGATCCTCCCATTTGTTGAAATTTTATATTATAAAAATTTTAATAAAATTTTCATGAAAAACTGTAAATGCACAATATATACTTTTTGTAATTGTTTGTGCTTGACATCAACTAAGCAATGCACTAATTTGTAGTGTGATTGTGCTAATTTAGGTGTTACATTATACATATTATACATAGTTTAATTTTCTTTATTCAATAATCCACTCTTATATTTCTAACCTTTTATATACTCAAAAGTTTTTGTTTTTTACCATTTTATGATGTATATTTGACTGGCATCTAACATTTTTAAAATTATTGAAATTATAATTTTCTAACTTTTTTTACCAACCAATTAATTAAAATCTTTATTTACATAAGAAACTTATGTATTAGACAATTTTTTTTAAGAAAAATCTTTTAAGTGCGTACTATTGATAATCCATGTCGTAATGTGATCATAAATTTTTTGGCCCAGATGTATAGTTTTAGCTGTTACATGTTTACTATGTTCTCTTGTGATTGAATTTGATTTAAGTGTTGAGAGAAACATTGATGATAAAATCCTTTGAACGGCAATAGTTCAATCGATTAAATATGTATACAAGTTGCAGTAAATTTTATATCACGCTTAATTCCTACCTATTAAAAAATTAAATTAAATAGAAATATTATATATATAATAATAATATGAAAATACTAAAGTATTGGAAAAATAGATAATCGTACTTCTTTTGCTTGTTTAGTGTAATTATTTTAAATAATTTTGCTTCTATTTAAATCCAATATTAATTGTTTCTCTATTATTTTTTCTTCTTCACCTAAAATTTAGTTAATTTAAAGTTGAAGACAATATGTATTTCTTGTAATATAAAAATAAAACAACGTAAATTAAAGTCATTCTTTTGTTGCATTTATAGATTTCTTTAAAAGAAAAGTTTAAGCAACAATTAAAAATAAACGAGAAAAAACTTAGAAAGAGGCCTTTATTTTTACAAAAAATTGAAAATTAGGTCACATTTTTTTATACGATTTCAGTTTCATTCCAATAATATGAATTTTGTTATTATAATATATGTTATTATTAGTAATTATTTATATTAGTATTGTTATAGTTGTTATTAATATTAGTATATTTATTTTTAAAAAATGAACTAGTTTTTAACAGTAGGTAAATTATTATATTTTGTTTCAGCGATACAAGTAAAAGAGGAAAAACTAATATAAAAACATTTTTAAATAAGGTTTTAGTTCCTGTAAATACGACATATTTATGTGTAAATGATTATTATTTTTAAATTATAAAGCTTTTCTAACCGTCCATTTTTAGTTTTTACTATTAGTTATATTTAATTCTATTCTAAAATATTTGTTAACATATTTAAGTTAATAATAAAATATTTATATTAAGATAATTATATTTCATTCGATAGCTTTCTTTTAATGTTTTATTTATATTAAAGATAATTACAATTTAGTTTGAGTTTATAATACTAGAACTAATATACAGAAAAGAAATTATAAACATCTAAAAGATATGAGCTTTTTAACAAAAAATATATATTAAAATAAATTATTGAATAAAAATAAAAATTATTTATAATTATCTTATTTATAATATATAAGACATATGTTATTTAATTAAACACGTAGGTATTTTAATTTGAATTTTTTTACTTTAATTATATTAATTGACATCTTTCATTTTCATCACTAAAGTAGTTATAATTAGTGAGAAAACTAAAATAAAATATTACAAAAATAAGATAAATTTAAATTCATAATTTTTTTTCGGACATTAAAACAATCATATTTGCAGATATTAAAAACATAATTAAAATGTAAGACCACTAAAATAACAAACAAAATTAAAATGACGAAAATTACTCTTGCTTCTGCTATGTTATTACTTCGTGAGATAAACGCACCCGTCTCACTCGCTTGGTGCCGCTCGCAGGTGCCGCCACCATTTCTGGTACGTTAGTGTTCTTGGGATTTCAGATTATTCATTTTCTTTTATTACGACATACATGTTTTTAATTTTGAATAACTATATTGCGTTCTTGAGTATGAATTTTTAGAATGATTTTGAAGAAGAAAAGAATAGTCTAGTTAAACGTATAAAACTTAGGGTAACAATGAAATCGATATTTTGAAATTGGAATAGAATATCACTGGATGCAATTAGGCCTTAAGTTTTGGCATTTGACTGTGATATTCCGTGTCCCTCCAAAATCTTTGCTTATCATGGTGAGAATTTGGGTTTTTCTGAAATTCCTCTTCTTTAGGGTTTGATTTGATTTCGGGAAAGAAATGGAGTTTGTTAACCGAATAGCGGACATAGCTGCGAGAGCTGCAAACAACAACAAATTGATCAACGTTTGTCTGGTTGCTTCATTTGGAATCCTTGCGGTAAGATCTATGAATCAACAATGGACCATTGAAGCTCTTGAGGCTGAGAAGGAATCTCTAGCCAAATCCAACAAGTCCATTAGAAGGACCATTTGGAACTGGAAGCAGCAGCTTTATGCTGAAGCCTCTACTGATTCTTCGGTGGTTCCTCTGGCAAGGCTCAGAGCCATATATGGTGATGCGCCGCTTCCTCCACATGCCGGACCAGGTAATTCATTTACTTCTCTTACCCTACTCTAGACTCTATCTATTGAGTGAGGCAATGAAATTTGACTTTGTTTATGTGGAAAGTGGTTTGGTGGATTAAAAAGGAAGGAACAAATTTTTTGTTCAAGTTATTTTCACCGTTAGGTTGCTTTATAGATTCCTACAATCATTTTCCCTGTTATATACGGTTTTGTTTTAGCTATGCTTGAACTATTGGTTGGGCATTGTGCATTTGACAACTTAGGGGCCAATTTTGTGCCTTTTCTCCAATTCTTTGTGTTTTAGGAGTATCAATGTGCTTATAACATGATCTGTTGTTCGGGAGGGAATGGACCTTCTTTCTTGTCGTTATGCTTATAGTCTCTCTAGAAAGGGTTTTCCTAACAAATTTCCTGAGGACCTGGTTCAGCTGCATGTAGTACACTCTAAATAGGGCCTATTTGTGTAAAATTCTGCATAAACCTGTCTTGATAAGACAAATAAGAAGAAAAACTGAAATGACTCTCTATAAGTAAAAATTAGCTTATGCAAAAGTTAAGTACAAGAATCTATAAAAGCTATGAGAAACTTTTTACAAATTCGCTTGTACATAAACTAATATGGATAAGCACATTTCTTTTTTTTTCTCTTTTAGAAATGTATATGGAGACATTTGTTCAATTAGGCCTTACATGCTTTGAATTACTTAGGAGAAACAAATATTAAATTATTTCTGTTCTTGTTAGTACATGTTTTATTTTCCATTAAAAACTTTTTTTTCCTTATAATAAATGATTAGCTTGTGCCTTCTCTAAAAGATCTTTCCTTTTGATTAAGCGAGGTTCGATTGTGGAAAAAGTGAACTAAACCTCCTTCACATTCTTTATTAAATGTATATCAAGGAAGTTGATAATGTTACTGTTGGAAGACCATGGATATAATTTGTAACATGCCATGGCCGCTGTATACTTTTTATTTAAAGTTCTGTATTTCATTTTTTTCTCGATATATCTAAATAAAATCAAAAAATAATGGCTTAGACCATAATCAATTGATAAGCCCTGATAAAAAGAAAGTTTATGGTTTTTCTATGTCTCAACGAAACAGAAGAATGTATGTGAATTTATTCTGATTATCTACCAAGGAGAGAATTAGCTTTTGATTTGAAAATTTCCTTTGATAATAGAGAAACAGCGAAGGGGGAAAAGAGAAAGCAGGGCTGGAGGCAAAACGGTTGAGTCAACTGTTAATGTTAATTTTCTGAAAAAGAAGGAAACAGTAGTGGCCGATTTTATTTAGTCAAATTGTAAGAAGATACAAAATGAGAAAATAACGAAAAGACAAAAGTTCAATATAGCAATTTAGTTCTATCTCATAGGGAAACCCCACTAAGTCGTAAAATAGTCAATATTACATCATCATACGGAAGCTAAATGAATGAATACATTTACTCGTAGACACTGCAACCCAAAACTAAGCATTAGAGTTCAAATCAGACTGTATTTCTCTTGAGACTACTTATCCTCTTATATTTCAATTTTGACCTTAGTGTATCCCAGTTTGACTCCATATGTGGCTGCATGGTTAACAGTGACGTAGCATTAAGACACATTTCGTTTACTATGTATGTTTTTGTGTCAAAAATGTTATAACATGGCTATCGTGTAAAGAGCTGTAGTAAAAAGATGATGTTTTTCAATCGTAGTTAGAGATTAATCACACAGGATTAGACGTGGTCAATCTGCTTTATCTATGCATATCAGCGATTGTATTATGTCTTGAGTTTTGGCGTTTAAGTTTTTTTTTTTTTTTCAGGAGATACTGTGACGAAAGATGCATAGTCATCCGGTACGACCAAAATAATGGCCTGACACTTGTTTAGTATCAGCACTTTCAAAAGTTTTTGGCCTTGGAAAGATGCTAATGAATGTTTTTCAAGAGAACAAAAAGGTATAATCGTTTGGTAATTTGTTGTTCTATTAGCATGTAAATCTTGAACTTGGAAGAAGTTAGAAAGGGTGAAAAAATAATGATTGTAAGGACAAAAACACTCTTATTTTTGTTACACATGATATCCATCAAACAATTTTGGGGGCAGATGAGAACTAAATACAGTTTTGGTAGTGGATAAGGTGCAGTCTTCAAATAGTGTTCCATCAAACTTGTCTGGTTGACTGCCATGATGCGTATAATGGACGACTTCTCGTGAGCAAAAACCTTGCTTCATTCTATCGCCTGTGACTTGTAAATTTTACTTGAGACCGTTATAATATACGATTTTCGTTCATGCTTTCAGTTCAGGAGAGAGAGTTGCAAAAATGCTATTTGTTTGGGATATAAAATGATCACTCTCAGATGTGTTCATGAGTGGGTTCACAAGGTTCGATAATTATGATCCTTGGTTCTTGCATTTTTTTTTTAAAACCAAATGACTCGTGATTTTCTGTAGATCGACAAATTGAATTGTTCTTTAATCAAGTAATGTAGTTTATTCTAACTTGAGGAGCAACATCCCTATGTGAGAGTTATACTATCACATTTTGTGAGCTTTATTATGCCACTCTATTTTTTTAGTATTTTTGTAACTGTTGTTTCAAGGTCTTGGAAAACATACATTTTAATAATATTTACTTACATTTAAATTTTTAGATAAAAGGTTGATTTATTTACTATATCTAAATATTCTTTAAACGTTATTGTGATTAATTAAAGAGATTTGCGTACTCAAGATGTTAATAGGTTAAAATGGTTTTATTGAGATTGAAAATTAATTCTTTTATTCATATGATTCAAAGTTCTAATATCAATATTAATGATGAATCTTAAAGGATTTATTAGGAAGATTTCATATGAATAAAATCTGAATCAAATATAAGAACTTGATATAAATTCTAATCCAAAATCTTTAAGAAAAAGTTTATAAATCTTTCACACTTAATTTTCTCATTTCTCTTTTATGGACTCACAGTTGAGTTCTTTTTTGTTTTTTTAAGTAACATCGAGAAAAGAGAAAACCTACAATTTGATCATTTCAAATTTATTTTTTGTTAATTTTTGTGAAGAGGAATGGGGACAGAGAAAGGGATGCGGATGGTTGAATTAACTGAACTGCTTCCATGTAGCTAAGAACAGATTCAATGTATCATTGAAATCAGGTATCTGCTTTTTGAAAATGGCTTCTATTAACAATTATATCTGGACGACCTTAATGGGCCTTTTGAATGACAACATGTGGTAAAACAAACAGTGTTCAAACTCAGGGCAGAAGAAATTGTTTCCTCTGATTCCTTGTGTGAGGAAGTAAAATTTTGCTATTATTCGTGGAAGTTTTGGGATTGAAAGAAGACAAAATTAATTCCAATCAAAGTTTATCTACCTAATGATTTGACACTCAGCACAATATTTTATATACACACAGTAAAAAAGACGGATAAAATATTCCAACAATACCTTTTATGAAAATAACTATAAAATAATAGCAATTAATTGATAAGACATGCAATTAAACACCAAACTTAAACACCTTGCCGTGGTTAAGGATGTGTTCTGAGCATGAAATGTTCAAATCTAATCAACATTCCAGTGAAAGCTGGACAGATTTGAGCATGAATTAAAGAGTGAAAAAGTGAAAGGATAAATGGAAAGCTAGGGAATTCAATCGTGATTCCAAGTGACACATTATATACGAGAAAGTAAAACATTATATAAAATAAAAGATATTAATTTATTTTTTTAGATTTTTTAATAAAAATTTTGAGTAAAGAATGATGTTTTGTATTATTAGACTATTTTATCGGTGTTTATGTCTTTCCTACGGATCCTCTTGCAAGATCCAACGAAATAATCATTCAGCAAAATTTTTTAGTTGAAAGGGACTTGGATTGCAGCTATAGGCTTGTTTAGTTCAAGGGAAAGTGGCCATAAATTTCACCTTTTTGTTTTCATTTTGTTCTTAAAACTCTCTCTCTCTCTCTCATACACACACACCCCCTAAAACAGAAAAGCAAAATCTGTTTATTGATTTCCCTTTATCATAATTTGATCATGGCATTCATCTCTTCACCTTTAACAACTTGCAAGGTCTTTCCACCAATAAGCTTATATTCCACACACACAAACACTACAACATTAATGTTAATATTCTCTTATTATCATATACTATAACCATTGCTTTCTCAGATTCTGAATTATTCTGATACTTTGTTTCAGAAAGACTTGAGTTTCTCTGCTCTTCCTTCACGATCCTTTACAACAGGGCAAAGACAGACATGCAAGAAAACATCATCAAAGAAGATTGTTTCTGTTGTGTCATCCCAGAACAAACGCAACCCTTCTGCAACTGGCTCAGTTCTGTTCACTTTCTTCCATGTTTTCCAACGACATGCTCAAATTATTATACATAGTGCTAATATTGGTGTGTTGGTTCACTGCAGACCAAAATTCCCATGACTGCAACAGAGAAGATTCTGGCAAGAGCTGCTGAGAAATGTGAAGTGAGACCAGGGGAAAACGCATGGACAGATGTGGATGTTTTGATGATCAATGATATCACTTGTCCAGGGATAACTGGAATCTTCAAGAAACAGTTTGGCAACACTGCAAAGGTATCTCCAACACGTTTTCTTTGGAACATGTTTGAAATTCTAGTTATGAGTAAACTGTTTAGTGATACGTTACTACATTCTTGAATAAATTCTTGAATAATAATAGCGATGTGAAATTTGTACACCAAAAGGTTTGGGACCGTGAAAAGGTTGTGGTTATCCCTGATCACTATATATTTACAAACGATGAACGTGCACACCGCAACGTGGATATTGCAAGAGACTTTTGTGTGGAGCAAGATATCAAGTACTTCTATGATATTCAAGATCGCAGTAATTTCAGGGTACGCTTTCTCTTTAGTCTTTTTTTGTTTTTTAAACATCGGTTGGTTTCGTTTTTATAGTTTGATCCTTTTCCGTTTTAAAGATTTCAAAGAACTTGATATGTATAGAATCTGAGCATAGAAAATGTTTGTTGAAGAAAGATAAAAATTATAACCATAGTTCAATTAATGTCAACCATTATTATATCAAGACCTTAATTCTTTTACACATTGCAGGCTAATCCAGATTATAAAGGTGTTTGTCATATTGCTCTAGCACAAGAGGGTCATTGCAGACCTGGAGAGGTGAGTTCTGTTAAAAAAGCTAAGACATGTTAAAATCTGAAATCTACAGATTTCAGAAATGTTCTTATCACTTCATATGTGACAACAGGTCTTGTTTGGTACTGATTCACACACCACATCAGCTGGAGCATTTGGTCAGTTTGCCACAGGAGTTGGTAACACTGATGCAGCTTTTATATTAGGGACAGGGAAGATCTTACTCAAGGCAAGTAAAAAAGTGTCTTCATTAAAAATACTTGCATTTTGTTGAGGGTGAAGACTTTTCGTTAGGACTATGAGTCTATAAGACTGGCTATTCAATTATCCATAAATATCATTAAAAAGGTGATACATCGTACAGGGAATCCAAGTGTGAGTCTAAGTTCCACATTTGATAGAAATGAGAAAATATAGCTCTCTACAAAGGTGAAATACCTATTAACCCATTGTTTTAAGGTTTTAGGTAAAAAGTAGTGTCAATCTCTTGTATAGTTGGACTCAGATCTCATGTTGTATCTCCCTAGTTAATTTCCTCCTCAACAGACCCAACACCATATATCCATGCACCAAGCCTAATAGTATTTTGGGTGAAGGAGTGTAATGGGAAAATCCAAATTTTTTGTCTTTCTTCCATATGAGCCAACACCATTATTTCTGCTTCTTCTGCATAACATCTTAGTATTTGTTGATATCAACCATGGTTAATGTCTGAAACATGCTTAAACTGCAGGTGCCTCCAACATTAAGATTTGTACTGGATGGTGAAATGCCCAGCTATTTGCTTGCAAAGGATCTAATCTTGAACGTGGGTGATGTTTTCTTCTCACGTGTTTTTCCATTTGAATAAAATGTGGTTAATCAAAACTATTGGGCGCTAGTACATTATAACATTGTTTTCTCTCAAAGGTGTTGCCTTTTGAAACCCTTTACCCTAATTCAGATCATTGGTGAAATATCCATGTCTGGTGCAACATATAAAACGATGGAGTTTGTTGGGACAACAGTTGAAAGTTTAAGTGTATGTATATTTAACTTTTCATTTTTATGTCTAAGCTATGTTATTTGCTCAAGTATGTGACTTTGGAATTGTTGTATCGTAGATGGAAGAAAGGATGACACTGTGCAATATGGTTGTAGAAGCTGGAGGGAAAAATGGTATTGTTGCTGCTGATAGAACCACATACAAATACTTAGAGGTTATTGGAGTTAATCAATGCCCTTAATGCATTCCCTTTCTCTCACTGCCATGGATTTTATATTGTTGAGTGGTTTTGCACAGGATAAGACGTCTTCACCGTATGAACCAGTTTTTAGTGATGAGAATGCAAGGCAAGTTCTGTTTGCTACTCACATATATATATATATATATATATACACACACACACACACACACACATATATACACACACACATACACACACACACATATATATATATATATACACACACACACATATATATATATACACACACATATATATATATACACACACATATATATATATGCACACACATATATATATACACACACACACACATGTATATATATATACACACACACACACATATATATAGACATAATTAAAATATAAATCCCCTTTTCTGAATAATTCATATATTTCCACCTTGGTTTTCTTCGTTTTTCTCTTATGTGATCTTTTGAAATCTCTTTTTTTTTATGTGCTAGATTTCTAGCCCAGTATAGATTTGATGTATCAAAGATGGAACCATTGGTTGCGAGGGTACTTTGACTTCAACTCATCATATTCTTTGGCTTCATTTTGCCATAAAAGTGTAAAGAACTTTGTATTGTAAAAAATCATTGTGTTTGATTGCTAATATAGCGTAATATGTTTAAACCACCACACAGCCACATTCCCCTGATAATCGTGCTTTGGCAAGAGAATGCAACCATGTGAAAATTGACAGAGTATACATTGGATCCTGTACTGGTGGAAAGACTGAAGATTTTATGGCTGCAGCAAAAGTTTTCTTAGCGGGTGTATGTCTATTACAATTTCTTATTCTACTTCATATTCTTTATAACATACAAACTGCATATATTTTATGGTGGAGATTGGATTCATTTTGAGGAGGGCTTGAAACAATCACTTCTCTTCATGAAGGATGACAATCCTGTAGT